CGCGGCCGCGCGGCGGCCGTCGATGGCCGCGCGGACCGCGCGCGTGATGGCGCGCGCGGCGCGCCGCCGCAGGAGCGCCCGCCGGGTCGTGGACGCGAGGCCCTGGAGGCTGCCGCGCTGCGAGTTGAGCGCCGCGCGGACGCGCGCGCGGTCCGCGGCCTCGCGCTCCGGCGACTTCGGCCGCCCCGCCGCGAGGCGCCGGAGCCGGTCGCTCGCCGGCGCCGCGACCTCGACGTCGACGGCGACGTCGCCGGCGGCGACGCGCGGCGCCTCCTCGGGCGAGCCGAAGCGCGGCGCGCGCCCGAGCTCCCCGCCGGCGTCGAGGGCCTCGTCGTCGCCGTAGTCCTCGGACGCCGAGTCCTCGCTGTCCCAGCGGTGCACCTCGATGAGGAGCTCCTTGGGCGGCGGCGGCGGCGGCGGCGGCGCCTCCGTCGGCGCGTCCTGCCCGGTGAGCCAGCCCCACATCGTGCGTGGTCGAATGAAACGCTGCAATCTCTCTCTCAACACGAGTGCATCTCCGGCCCAGATCTCAGCCTGGCCAGGCTCAATGTCTGAGTCGATGAGACAGCACTGCTGGCAGCTCTGAGCACTCGCTCGCCTTGGATTCGACGCCATCTGAGCACCTGAGAAACCTCAAGACTTCTTCTCCCGAGCATGCTTCGATCACTGCTCGTCTTCGCGGGCCTCGCCTGCGCGTCCGCGCTCGTGAGCCCGGCGGCGTCGGCGCGGGCCACCTCGGCGCTGCGCGCGAAGAAGAAGGGCTTCAGCAAGGCGCCGTCGGCGCCGAAGAAGAGCCGGAGCGGCGGCGCGGGCCCGGCGACGATCCGCGTCGACGCCGACGACGACGGCGACGACGCGTCGGCGACGATGACGGCGGCCGCGCCCGGCGGCGCCGGCGCCGAGGCGGAGATCTTCGAGAAGTTCGGCATCGACTCGACGGGCCGGACGACGAAGACCGTCGCGGCGCCGGCCGAGCCGGCCTTCGAGCCCCTCAAGGCCGTGCCCGCGGGCGTGCAGATCGGCCTCGAGAAGTTCCTCCTCGGCGGCATCCTCGTGCTCCTCGTCGCGTTCGTCGGCATCGGCTGCGCCATCACGCTCGAGGCCTTCGCCGCGGCCAAGCAGGAGCCCCTGGACCCGGCGCTCCAGAGCTTCATCGTCGACCAGCTCGAGCCCAAGTTCACGCCGTTGCTCGGCGCGGGCTTCGCGTGCTCCATCCTCCTCGGCGGCCTCAAGACGCTCCAGCTCACGTCCGACGGCGGCCAGTACTCCGAGGGCGCGACCTACACCGAGGACGACTGAGGGCGCCGGCCGCGTAAGCGTCGTCCGTGGGAGCTTCGAACCTCCGTCTGCGAATATGGGAAGCGTAGTGTTAGAAGATGCCCGGGAAGAAGTGGGACCCGCAGCAGCCGTAGTCGAAGGGCGCGTCGTAGGTGATGTGGGACCGGAGGCAGGACGAGTTGTCGATGGGCTCGAGCTCCTCGCAGCCGTCGGCCTCCTCGGCCTGCTCGAGGACGTCCGCGGGCTCCGCGACGATGCTCCGGCGGTCGCGGCCCCGCGGCGCGGGCCGCACGAGCATGCGGATCGCCTGGCGGCCTGGGCAGCAAAAGGGTGATTCAACGTCGCTTCAACGTGAGTGTTCCGCGCGCGCGTGTTCCGGAAAAAGCATCCGCGCTTCGAGATCGTTCCGAGAGATGATCGCTCGTCCAAAAGTCAGCCGAAACGAGTGGAAAACGGCCGAGATATGAGCCTTTGAAGTTGAGAATTTCGCTCTCTTTTGCTGCCCTGCTGGCGGCCCATGAGGTCCGCGAGCCGCGTGCCCGCGGCGTAGTCGGCGTCGGGCACGTCCGCGAGCGTCCGGTCGCCGCCGCAGACGGCCTGGAACTGGGACACGCCGACGCAGGAGCAGTTGAACTCGCCGACGACGTACTCCGTGAGCTCCGGCGGCGCGTCGCCGTCGCCGGCCCAGCCCTCCGGGTTCTTGGGGATGTAGTCGCAGGTCCAGAGGAGCGGCAACGCCTCGCCGGCGAGCCCCAGGGTCTCCATGAGGCCGTGCTCGACGTCGTAGAGCAGGCGGTCGAGGAGCCCCTTGTACTTGGGGTCCGACGGCTCGTAGTAGGTGTAGACGCTGTTGCCGCCGACGGCGCTGAGCCCGTTTTCGGGCTTCTTGTGGATGATGGCCTGGCAGGCGTCGCCGGACATGAGCACGCGCACCTCGCCCTCGGCGATGCGCGGCAGGAGCCGCTGGTCCACGAGCTGGCCGCCGGCCTCGACGCCGCCCTTGAGGTACTCGCCGGGGAACGTCGACGCCCACGACCCCGCGCCGCGCGCGCCCGGCCCCGCGGTGCAGAAGGTCACAAACTCGCGGACCGTGTGGTACTCGACGTGGTTGTCGCTCATCTCCATCAACTTCAACACCGCGTCGTCCGGGAGCGACGCCGCGCCGAGCGTCTTCGCGGGGTAGTCGCGCGCGTCGAGCGCGCCGTCGCGGTCCGCGTTCGCGAGCCAGCAGAGCCAGATGCCCTCGCCGGCGGACCCCCGGTTCTGCTTGAGCACGCGCGGCTGGAAGGCCATGGTCTGCTTGAACCGGGCCTCGAAGGTCGCCGCGTCGTAGTACGCGAACGTGTCCGGGAGGCCGCACTTGAGGTTCGCGATCTTCACGAGCGCGTCCTTGGCACCCATCTTCGTCTGCACCTCCGGCGACGACCAGACGGGCTTCCCCCAGGCGCCAAAGTCCTCGAGGAGCGCGTCGAACTTGTCCTGGAGGCCCTCGTGGCCGGCCGCCTGCGAGAGCTGGCCCGGGTTGACGCGGACGACGAGCGCGTCGTAGGCCTTGATGGCCCGGGCGAAGGTTTCGTGGGCCGCCGGGTCGTAGGTGCGCACGTCGCAGGCGCCGCCGGCGCGGATGACGCCGTTCGCGATGGGCACGCTGTCGACGCGGCGGCCGTCGCCGCCCTTGTCGCTGCCGCCGTTCGCGTGGCCGGGCACGGCGAACTCGACGACGCAGATGCGGTAGGGCGCGTGCGCCGGCGAGGGGAGGAGCACGTCGCAGCGGTCCGGCGGCGGCGCGGGCGCGGGCGGCGGCGGCGCGCGCTCCGGCGCGGGCTCGGGCTCGCGCGGCGGCGGCGGCCGCGGGCCCGCCTTGGCCTCGTCGTCGTCGACGCGCACGGACAGGCGGTGGGCGCCGTAGAACTGGATCGCGGGCTTCGCGGGCTCCGCGGCGACGGGCTCCGCGGCGACGCGGCGCGACAGCGCGGCGACGGTTTTTAGGGACCGCACGGCGTGCTTGAGCTTCCGCGCCGCCCAGCCCCGCGGCAGCCGCGCCTTGAGCTCGGCGAGGTAGGCGACGACGGACTGCTCGTCGCCGACGTCGTCGTAGCCGATGAGCTCGGGCACGCCGTAGGCGTCGCGCGCGCGCGCGAACGCCGCCGCCGCGTCGGCGCGCGCGTCGCCGGTGGGGTCGTAGGGGCTCGCGGCGTCGCAGCCGTGGAGGATGGCGAGGAAGGCTTTGCCGTCCCGGAAGTCCGACGCCAGGGCGCGGATCTCGAGGCCGCAGGGCTCGACGCAGCGGTTCGCCCACGCGACGAGCTTCTCCTTGACGCCCGCGGACGACGCGGCGACGCCGTCGGCCTCGGCGTCCCGGGCGAGCTGGATCGCCGTGAACTTGGTCAGGATGGACCAGCAGAGGCCGAGCACGAGGTACTCGTGGCCCTCGAAGACGTCCGGCGCGCCGACGTTCACCGTCTTGACGCCGTAGAGCTTGAGCGCGCGGAACACGAGCGACAGGTTCGCCATGTGGTGCGCCTTGTTCTGGCCCTTCAGGTCGCACTTGCCGACCTTGGGCGCCAGGGGCTCGGCGGCGAGCGCCTCGATGACGTAGTAGAGCACGCAGCCGCTCCGGAGGTCGTCGACGAGGTCCGCCACGGGCGCCAAAGCGCCCGCGGCGATCTTCGGCGCGATCTTCGCGTTGATCCACTTCGTGAAGACCTGGATCTGCTTCAGCCGGTGCTCCTCCTTGAGGTGCGCGCTCGTGCCCCGCTTCAGGGACCGCCGCCGGTGCGCCGCGAGGAACTCGTCCTTGGAGGACTCCTTGGCCGCCATATTCTTGTGGGGGCGGGGCAGCGTCGATGGTGAAGCTTGCCGCAGCCGGCGAGTGCCGCAAGCGTGCCGCATCGTTATGGGCTCATATAGATGAAGCGCCTCGTCGCGCTGCTCTGCGCGCTCGTGGCGCTCTGGTTCGCGGGCATCGTCGCGTCGTGGAGCCGCGGGTCGCGGCTGCTGGCCAGGTGCGAGAAGCGGTCCGCGCGGCTCCGCAAGGCGACGCGCGACCGCGGCGCGGCGCGCGCCGCCGCCGCGGCGAAGGTGCCCGCCTGGGGCCCGCCGCCGGGCGACCCGCGCTACCGCAACTACAGCCGCTGGTGGCCGCTGCTCTGGCCCGCGGGCGAGCGGCGGCACCGCGCGGCCTGCGCGCCCTGCGGCTACGACGAGGCGGCGTTCCTCGTGCCGTCGTTTCCGACGTCCGGCAGCGCGTACGTCAAGACTTTTTTTTCGGAGGTCACGGGCCTGGGCCACGGCGAGGTCTACGGGCCCCAGGAGGGCTTCGGGTTCCTGCGCCTCT